TATCAGAGCCCTGGAAAAGCTGCAGCATTAAATATCTGTCAATAGCTCAGCGGCCTTCTAAAAGATAGAGGCTTTAGTGCTGTAGACCCCCAGAGTTTTTCATTTTGCACATCCATATAAAACGCAGAATGCTTTGATGTCTATTTCGGTTCATCTACAGTTGACGTTCCCTTTTATCTTCTCCCTCTTCACCTTGAGAATAAGGTTTACCACTAATTACTTTCCGCAACCAAAAGACGATTCTCAAACCTTTAATGAGCCACAAATTATCATGACAAGAGTACAGAACAAAACATATTTACTCTGTTTCCCGCTGCCGTTTCTTCTGATCCTAAAATTAAACCCCCAAATATTTACATTTAGATGATGATTCAAACAGCAGCACATGGAAAAAAAATATTGTATTGAATTTGCTGGATTCATATTTCTCCATCAGACTGCCAGATAGTGAAGCGTGATTTATCACTTCAGTGAACATGTTTCCGCTGCCCCAGAGTCCAGTGGCGACGTGCTTTACACCACTCCGGCTGACGCTTGGAATTGCACATAGTGATCTTAGGCTTGTGTGCGGCTGCTCGGCCATGGAAACCCATTTCATGAATATTCTGATGCACATTTCTTGCTACCAGAGGCAGTTTGGAACTATGTAGTGAGTGATTCAACAGAAGAAAGGCTGTTTTTACACACTTCAGCGCTTGGTGTTGTAAACCTGCTGTTGTAGGGGGGCATTTCAAATGGGCTGGACATGCAAGAAGCCCCTCAAATACTGCACAGCTGAAACAATTCTGCATGAAGGAGTGGGCAAAAATTTCTCCCAGTACAGGTCAGAAACTGGTATAGTTATAGGAAACGCCTACATATAGCTGCTGCAGTAGCAGTTACTGGGGTGTACTTACTTTTTCAACAGAAAAAACACATCTCAGTAAATTTATGTTTAAATAAATGACAGCAAAGTCTAATTTCCTTTGTTTTTTGTTCTATTACGAAAGATTTATCGATACATACTATTTAGCTGATGATCAAATACTGATATGCCAACATATGTCAAAAAAAGAAACATTTCATGTATGTTTAAAAACTCCAGCAGCACTGCTGTGTCTGATCCACTCAGACCAGCACCACGTCAGTGTTACTGCAGTGCTGAGAATGATCCACCACCCAAATAGTACCTGCTCTGTGAGGGTCCATGGGGGTCCTGACCTCTGAAGAACAGGGTAAAAGGGGGCTAACAAAGTATGCAGAGAAACAGATGGACTACAGTCTGTAACTGTAGAACTACAAAGTGCACCTATATAGTAAGTGGAGCTGATAAAATGGGACAGTGAGCGTAGAAACAAGGAGGTGGTCATAATGTTATGCCTGATCTGTGTATATATAATACTAAAGATAAAAAATGAACTCTATCCTCACAAAATTAACAATATGAACATTATAAATAATAAAGCAAAAAAAATCCATAAACTATCAGAATATTTTACAAGTTAATGCCAAGTAAACTGAACGACAGATTGCGTTGATGTAATGTATTTTATTAATGTAAAACATGATGTACATTAGGTAAATTCAGTGCATTGTTCTGGCAGTGTAGGTGGGATATATTTCCTGAAGCGCATTGTTCCAGAAGACTGCAGAGAAAGCTACCTCTGCATTGGCCTTGTTTTTGTTTTTTTTTTCCCTCCCTCCAGATCTATTTCAGTCCTGCTTCTCTGTGCATGCAGGACAGTGCTCTCTGTTAATTTAGTTTTAGGTTATTAACAAGCTGTGCTTTTCCCACGTTCCCACAGGCCTTAATCCAGTTTTATCTTGTTCCAGATTGTGTGAGGATCAGGCAAAAGGACCTTTCTCTGTGTTTTTGCTGCAGAGATTACGTTCCTATAGCTATTTTAGGGAGATCTTAGTGCTTCTCAGTCTTAGTGCCACTGCGCTTCAGAAAGAATGAAGTGAATATTTCATAAGACCGATGGACCTCAGAGGACCATGAACCTGCTGCAGTGAAGGTGCACATAACTGTTTTTTATTATGTCTTTTAATTTCACATAAAAGAAATAGGGGACTGATAATAAATGGTTATGGTCCAGGGAGCCTAGTGTAATATTATTAAAATGGGGGATTTCACTGATTTTCCAAAATGTGTGCATAATTCAGTGTTTAAGATGTAGACAGAGTCATTAAGAGTGGTTTCTCTGTTCTAGAGAAACTTACCAAGTCAGAATTGTTCACAGTGGAGGTGATAGGAACCAGACGTCCACCTCTAAAAGCTCCCTCACAGAAAGTTACTACATTAAATGGTTGTGAATTCACCGCCTGATGTGTGAGACTCTGTTTTACGAGAGCTTGACATAAATTTTTGTGTAAAACATATGTAAAGCAAATAAAACACATTTTTTGAGATTTACCTTTTTCCTCTATCAACATTACGTATAAAAACTTTATGAAAACATGTTATAAAAACATATTTTTATAATCCTTTCATGGTATTTGTTCATTTCTTATTTTCCCATCATAGCATTATATTTAAAAGCCTAGAAGACTCGTGTAGGTTCACTGGTGGTTCTGCATAGTAAATAAAATGTCTATATTTGTGTTGTAGTCACGGCGACCCCTGGTTCCTATCACCACCATTGTAAAAACATCTGAGTCTCTACAATCAACTATTTCACACCAAACCACTCTGAATGACTCTGTTTACATCTAAATAACTGAATTGTTCATGAATTCAAAAAATTGGTGGAATTCCCCTCCAATTACATCATAAAAATTATATATATAAAACTAGAAACATGTATTTCCTGAAGGAAACACAGAATGGTTGTGCAGCTTAAATGGTTCGCACTTCCTGATAGGTTGTTGCTAGGCAGTTACTATGGTATCCTAGGTGGTTGCTAAGGTGTTGCTAAGCAGCTGCTATGGTATTCCATACAATTGCTAAATTGCCGCTAAGCAGTTGCCATGGTGTATGGAGTGTGTATTTAGTTGTTCGTAGGGAGTTGCCAGGTGTTAGCTACGTGTTGTTGAAAATGAATGGGAGTCAGGAACAAGGGATGAAAAAACGACACATAGAGGAGTGTGGGTCAGTATGACTTTGGATTAGAGGTTGGGCACCTGCCCTGAGTGAGTACATGTAGTTTGGTGGCTGTAGGGCTACGAAGACATAGAGTTTGTGTGGTGGCGAAAATGAATGGGACTCTATGGGAGAAATGAGGGATGTAAAAAAATGAGAAACGGATGAGTGTGGGTTGGAACAACATTGAATTCGTGCTCAGGGGCCTGCCCTGAAATAGTATATGCGAAACGGTGTCAGTAGATTGTTGTGCATTTTTTCACTCCATTCATTCCTTTTGGAAAAAAATTAGGAATTTAACAAAGATTGTAGGAAAACAATCAAAGTGCATCCGGTCAAAAAGCTGCATACAAGTACGAATCACACAGTCAGACCGGATAATCTGGATTTGGAATGGTGTTGATATCGAAAACTGCGGGGTGAGTTACATGACAGGAATTTGGCAAAAAAAAATAAGAATAAAACAGAAGAATAAGAATAGAAAACGAAGAACAGTATATTTGCACGTTGCATAATAATTCAGCTGATTAAGAGCGAGTATCATTGTATTTCTATCATGCACACATTAACATGATTTTTCTACTAAATGCCACATCTGTAAAAGCACATGCTGTCTGAGGGAGTCTGTGCTGGAGAGAGATGTTTGAGGGGAAAATGTCTCCTGCAGCACAGGGCGTGTATTGATTTCTTCAAGGACAGAAACGATGCTCATCTTGCTGTAGTTGTTTGAACAGCCTTGGCAGCATGAGTCATGTTGTAGACCGCTTGGTTTAAGTCATCCAGAGTTTATGCAGTTTTTATTTCTGTAGCCTAGATTTTCCTGCCATCGGGGATCAAGATTAAAGCAAGAGTTTGGCAAAAATCGAAAGTACACAGTTTTCTCCTAATGCTGAATGTAGTCGATTAGCCAAGACATGTTTGGTGTTTGAGGTTTGCTTTATTAGTCTTAGCACTGAGGCTAAAAGGTTAATGTAGCCAACACGAAACGGAACCTCACACCACTTGGCGTCGTGCTAACTGCATGCCTAAATCATCACACACTGACTCAAACCTTGTGGAGTTGTCAAAAGGGAATTTCACTGATTTTTCAAAAACTAAATCAATGGTTGATTGTAGAGACTCAGATGTCTTTACAGTGGTGGTGATAGGAACCAGGGGTCGCCATGACTACAACACTAATATAGACATTTTATTTACCATCCAAAACCACCAGTGAACCCACATGTGTCTTCTGAGCCTTTAAATTTAATGGTGATCGAAGTAAAATAGAAGTAAATATGAAAAAAAAAAATGTAATAATAATATTTTGCCTCACAACATCCTGCATGTATCCCTCCACCATGAATGGATTAAAAAAATAGGTTTTATGCCAAAACCTTCTCAAAAGTATTCTAAAACAGTGTCTCAGTCATCAGGCAGTGAATTTATAACCATTTCATGTAGTAACTTTCTGTGAGGGAGCTTTTAGAGGTGGACGTCTGGTTCCTATCACCACCACTGTGAACAATTCTGACTCGGTAAGTTTCTCTACAACAGAGTATTTCACACCAGACCACTCTGAATGACTCTGTTTACATCTTAACCAATTAATTATGCAGGAATATTGTAAAATTGGTGGAATTCTCATTGAGAAATCTCTATTAGACCTGTTTATGAGGTTTCTAACACTAGGACACAAACACTTGCTTTTATAATCAACTACGTTTTTGATAAGAGGGAGGAAACTGTGTAAATTCTACATTTTTGCAGTTATCACATTAAGTGTTGCTTCACATCTCAGCGCTTGGCATTTTCCGCAGCACACCAAGGTGGTTACAGCATTGTCTCTTTATCTCTCTGCTCCAGGCTGTCCACGGTTACCTCGTTTCGGCCTCACTGTGGGACTGTTCTGCAGAGCGCTGTGTGGGTCTTGAGGCACTGTTTTTCTGTGTTTATGTAGATCTCCTTGCTGAAGCAGAGTCTGGAGCTGCAGCTGTCTCAGTCCCAGGCCGCGCTGCAGCAGCTGCAGGCTCAGTTTGCTCAGGAGCGCGAGCACCTGGCCCAGGAGCTGCAGGAGATGGCCCTGCAGCACCAGCGCCGAGAGCGCCACCTGCAGGACGCTCACTGCTGCGCTATGGAGGACCTGGACAAAGAACGGCAGCTCGAGCTCAGGGTACCTCACACACTCACACACTTACATACCAGGGCTGCACAATATATCGTTCATTAATCATTATCATGGTACTGATCTTCGCAATAGTGGTATCATATAAAGATGCTATATGCAAATGAGCCCTCTTACCTGTCACAGATTAGCTCCTGTGGGTGTTTTTTTCAGGGAAAAAAGCATTGATGTAATCCAACAAAACAAATCCAGCAAATCACAATTTAGGGTTGACCCTGTAAATTTACATACATAATAATACATATGTAGTTATAGTCATATATGAAATATACCAAGTTGCCAGTTTACTGGGTATTCCTATCTTGAATCTACACACTTTGGCCATTATATCAGAACACCTACCTTATAGATGAACTGTATACCTGTACAATTACAGAGTGTAGCCCACCTAGCACTGTACGGTTTATCAGCCCTCCTCTGCATTCATCAGTGGAAAGGGACCACCATAGGACCACCACTGACCAGATATTATTTAGGTGGTTCTCAGCACAGCAGTGACACTGTCAGGCGTAACTTTGTTGCTGAGGTTTATAAAACTGTATACACTTATATGAATTTCAGTCAAAACAGTACAAGTTATTCATTTTAGGAGATCTGAGGAGATTAGATTTAAGATAATCTATCTTCCATAAAGAAGGAGGATGTAAGTAAATAAAATAATTAAAAGCTACAGAAAAAATGAGGCTCCTAACAACCACCTGGAAGACCTGGTAGACCCCAAAACTGCCCCCATCAGATAAACAGCGCTTAAAGCTTTCATCTCTGAGAGAGAGGAGAAAATCAAGCTGCTTCAGATCTGAAAACATCCACAGGTGTTTCTGTCCATCCTTCCACTGTGAGAAGACGACTCAGCGCTGTGGGGCTGAAAGGATGTGTAGCTGTCAAGAAGAACCTCACTGACAAAAGGAGACGGACACATCAAACAAAGAAGCTGAACACTGGACTGACCACCCCAGAGTCCAGACCCCAACATCACTGAATGTGTTTGGGATTATTTGGACCGTGAGAAGCACAAAATGCTAAACCAACTTTGGACGTGTGGAACAATATCCCCGCAGATTCTTTAAGAAACTGAAAGTGAGTCTCCTGAAAAGAATGGAAGCTGGAGTAAAGGTAGAGGGTGACGTGCTAAATACTAAAAAAATGATGTTGAATTTAGTTGTTGAGGATTTTGTGTCATTTTCTGTTTTTTTTACTTTTTCACGATGCTGAAAAATGAATAACTTCAGCTCAATAGCTGTTTTGATTGGAAAATAAAAGTAGGATGGTCTCTGACTTTTGCACAGTACTGTACATGTACAAGCTTTCACTGACTCTCCTTCACTCCCATTCCATCTCTGTCCATCCTGGTCCCAAAGCCGAGGAAATCACCCCGGTCCCCTTTCACTCATTGTCACTATCTGGACTTTCCCCCATGTCAGTGTCTGACCGCTCTGTGTGAATCACTGCTGCGTGTAAGGCTCACAGTGCTCCTGGTAAATGACCCTCGTTTCTAAAAGAGGCTTTTCTGCTGCCTGCTGTTCTGCACAATAAGAGTCTGAGAAGGAGCTTCTTACTCGAGCACTGTAGAGAGAAAATAGCTCGAATTTGCTCTTATTTGTCCAATTGATTTGTTCAATAATGGAAGCTTGTGGGTGATTTTGGGCTCTCGTTGTTAAATGTTCCTCGGTGCATGGTTGCCTTGAAAGCTTTGAGGATTTGTATGCTTTTTGAGAAGCTGGCTTGCAAAAGGTTGAAGTTAACATGTAAGAACGCATCAATGCATCATGATGCATCAGTGATGATTCAGTCGCATTTTGGAATGTATTAATTGATAAGAATGTTCGGTAAAGTATGTGGGTCAGTGGTAAACAAGCCTTTCAAAATGAAAATGCATTTTTGTATCTGCAAGAATCTTTTTGATGTATTGATATTTGTTTCATACTTTTATGAAGGAATACATTCATTTTTAAAAAGGAATTTAGCACTTAGACATCAACAACGTCACGCAACTGGACATCAACAAGAATTATTATATATATATTTTTTTTTACCGCTACTGAAAACATGTTTAAACTCACTGTCCTTAAACTCAAATTTATACAGAAATTTCTTACAGATGCATAAACATTATAATAACTATGGTTTTCCTGCAGTCCCACCACCTGGCAAACTTAACCAATGACACAAAAATAATCAATTTTACATAATTTGTGAAATGGCTACTGACCTTGGAAGTGCACCATGAAGGTCACTTGATGGCTGTGTCCCAATTCAGGGGCTGCGTCCTTCAGAGGCTGCGTTTGAAGGCCGTTTGCGTCACAGTGGCGCGACTAGACTGTCCCATTTCGGAGGCTCCTTCATATGGGGCCGAGAAACGTGTCCTCCTTTTCCATGGCAATGAAGGATCCACGGGTGGATCTTGTGACAGCCAACCTATCCTGAGGTTCATTGTGTGCCGACAAGGATTCGAGAACATGGCGGCATCAACAGAGAAGTGAAAAGCGGCTGAGGAGACACGTTTAAATGAATGTATTGGGTTTAAACTGATTCGAATAGCTAAAGATACAGATGTTAAAAAAAGCCAGTAAATGTGGTCCGAAGCAAAACCTACGCTAACGTTTCGTTTTGTTTTAGGGAGCAAGGAGCTGACAGAGAGAAGCATCTCCAGCTCTAATAAATGAAAAAATAAAACTATTTTCATTTCGGTTCAGCCTTCGCGGGTCTAAGCAGCCTTCGAAGGACACGCCTTCATAGACCGCATCCTTCGAAGGATCCAGCCCCTGAATTGGGACACACTGGATGTCTTCTTTATGATGCAATACCCTGCCCACTCTTCATAAAAATAATTTCATAATAAAAGTCCTTTGTTTTCAGTTGCGCCACATGACATTTGAGAAATTGTGTTTCAATGAGTTGAATTCTTATAAAGCTGCCGTATGTTTACAATTTTAAAGGTTTAGAGCATAAAAATAGATATCAAACTATTTTATTTCGATTTTTGTATGACTAAATTACTAAATATATGTGTTTTTGGTTGGACAGTCCACACCATTTTTAGACTGTGGGAGAACACATAAACGCTTTTTATTTTGATATACTGAAAATATATTCACATAAAGGAGGTATTGTACAGTAATATGGCATCTGTCATGTATTTATTAAATAATTTAGAGAAAATTATGGACTTGGACACAAAAAATATCACATCATATTGACCCATGCGCTCATTATTTACTTATTTTTTATTTTTTTATTTCTTTTTTGTTAATTCTTTTGGGGTATTGTTTTTATAGTCTGTGTTCCACTACAATATAAATAATGCCATACCAAAATAACAAAATCATGGTGAAATTATATATTTTATGATGCACTGAATCATTTCCTAATGAGTCGAATCTAATCGAATTGTTGTGAGGTCAGAGATTTACATCCCTATTAAACGTTATTGAAACGGAGCCGCTGCAGTTCAGTTCGCGAGGCAGGCCGGAGTGAGAGTAATTGAAGGCGGGCAGGACGCGGCCTTTGAAGCACCGACATCACGCAGAGGCTAACAGGCTTTTTCTCATTTCCTGAACGCCAGCTCGGTGGCCGAGAGAGTCCTTTCTTTAAGCCGCTTTTGCCACGCTTCGGATTACCAATAAATAAATAAATAAACAAGAGCCGTGGCTTTCATCTCTCTCCCAGCATGTTAGACCTTGAATGTATTTGATGACACAGGCGCTGGAGGGCCTTTAGCTGTGGAACGGCTGCTTTGTGGGTGGACTGTTGGAATGCTATGCTTGTTTGCGATACAGCAGGGCAGGTATGCAGCAGACGTTTGGAGGGGGAAATGCAGGAGTGGCTCCGTGTGACCTGACATGGATTGGTCACACACTCAGTTCCCTCTAAATTATACAGTGTTACATAATGGAAAAGTACAGAAGCCGTTCCGTTCATGTTGTTTATGTTTACGCTGGTCATTTTTGTCTTGTTTTCATTACATTTATTGCTTATGTGTTTGGTGGGCCAGGGAATATGTTCCCCAGTGGTGGGCAATATTTTATCATTATCGTGATAAATTCTGTTATTGTATTATTTTCCTGGCCGTTGTTGATGTCATCTGTACTTACAGAAAAACTCAAATGTGGCTCTACTAGAACATTTTGTCTCTGTGTCAAAATATTGTGGTATGTATTGTGTATCATATCAGATATTTATGCAATATGTGATGATATTATTTATTGTACTCGGTAGAGCAGAATGTTTAGGCAATGCTGTTTTACCGCACTAAAAATTTTTCAATTTTATTCATTTAATTGCATTTATAACCCTACAGATTGAAATATTATATTTCTCTTTAAGGCTAAATCAGGTGACTCCAATCCCAGTTTCTACATTCTATAGATGTGTTTTGGCTTCGGCAGATATTTGGACCATTCTACCAAATTAATTCAAACTGTGGTCCCACAGTAAAAAAAAATAATAAAAATAATGAAGTATTCAGACCTTAGATATTATTTCATTTTGCAATTAAGCAAAGCTTTGTGTTTAAATAAAAAAATTACGATTAAATTTGTGTACAGCTGTTCAAAGCTGTGTTTGCTGGTCATCTACTGGCTGTGTGTTTGAGTCCTGCTCAAAATGAGCTAAAATTGTCACTGCTGAAACAGTCACTACTGAAACATTTGGTAAAGTTTGGGTAGAGTTATGATTGTTTTGGTAGCAGCAAAATGGAATGATCAATCATTTATGTAAATAAAATAAGCATAGTTAGGTTACAGGGTCACTCAAAGCAAAAGGATTTTAGTCTAAAGTCCAAATCAGTTAAATGTCCCAAATGTGTAACTGAACCAATTCAGTAGAATCATCCTTATAGTGGACCTGTAAGGTACGGAGCTCATAAAGTGGCCAGTGAGTGGAAGTACGAGGTGTTTCTGTTAAAATGGATGGCGAGTTGTTTTCAGTGTTGATGGTGCTCTTCATTTGTCCCTTGTGTAGGAGCTAGAGGAACGTCTGAAGCAGGAACAGAGAGAAGAGCTACACGCTCTAAGAGAAGCCCACAGACAGACGCTGGAGATCCTCCGTCAGCAGTCTGACCAAGAGCTTCAGACTCTACGGTTTGAGCTGGAGGACGAAGGCAAAGCTATGCTGGGTGAGCTTAATCACATAAAACCTTAGTGAGCATGATTTCCTCCACGCTGTAGAAAATGAGAAGTCTGCTCAACTTGAAATGACATAGTCACTGATTACATGGCTTTTCTTGAGTTGACTCAACTTGAGGACACCAGAGTTCACACAACTCAAACTTCATGGTTGAGTCGAAAATTCTCCCAGCTACTGTTTCTGGGTCTGCATCTCAGTTAGATAAACAAAACTGAATTTGTTTTTTTTACTCCATTTCCCCACTAGCTGGCGCTGCTTCTATCACACAGTCCCATCTGGCATATTTCCCTCTTGGCCTTCTGGATATGGACAGCTGTGGCATTGCTGGGATTCAAACTCACAACCTCCTGATGTTGTGATGAATTATTAGACAGCTGCACCACATGAGACGATGTCATGCCTTAAAGCTAAAACAACAACAAATTTCCAGTGTTTTAAACATTTATAGACACTAAATCTGAGCTGCTTCATGTGTTCCTGAGTGCTGCAGTGGACTAAGCCGTCACCCCAGCAGGAGGTTGTGAGTTTGAGCCCCAGTGATGCCACAGCCATCCGTAAGTGCGCGCTGAAGAGGAAAGCTGTCTAGCAGGATTGTGTGATGGAGAGAGTCCTGGCTGGTGGGGAAGTTGAGTATAAAAAACAAATTCATTTTATTTACTTAACTGAGATGCGGAACTAAAAAGTTAGAGAATTTTTTACTCAACTAAGAACTTTTAGTTGGGTGAACTCTGGTGTCCTCAAGTTGAGTCGACTCAAGAAAAGCCGTGTAATCAGTCACTATATCATTTTGAGTTGAGCTGACCTCTCATTTTTAACAGTGTAGAGCTGCGCAGTATATCTTTCCTTCATTGCTGTAGTGATGTTGGTATTCGCATTGCTGATATGGAGGGAAAAAATCGCAAATCTTTAAAATTTTCAGTACAGTCGTACTGTGATCATATCTTCCAGTGTTTTCCAACCCTACTGATATGGCACGAGGCAACAATATGCAGATTAACCATTCACTAAACGTTTCATTGTTGAGCAGTGAGCATCCTCACCAATCACAGATGTTCTTTGGGTATTCCGCTGATGTTTTTAATGTATTGCGAGTTATATCATAACTGCCTTATGTAACAGTATCGTCGCAGTAAAGCCGTACTTTCTGCCACGCTCTAAAGATTTTTAATTATCAATAACCCCAAACACTTTATGTGGTTAACTAACGAACCAAATGACTGTGATTCATTAGGTCAAGTGCACTGAAATAAATGGTGCATTAAATTTACATGATTCTCATGGTTGGACAGACTCAAACTAGAACCATCTCACCTGCCTCACCACACTGAGCTCTGCTCTTATTGATACCAGCAGATCATCATGAGAGGCCTCTAACAGTAGCCCCTGATGTTTATGGATTTAACTCTCATTTTCACTGTGATACGCTGCTGACAGTAGTTACTGGTGTTCACTGATTACATATTAACATAGATTTGTTTCTCATTGTTACACTACTGGGACTCTAACAGAAACATTAGTTATCATTGGTTAATGTACTTCTGTCCGGTGACAGGCTGGCTTCTTTTTTTCTTTTTCTCTATATTCAATATTGTATATTAATTGTAAAATCTTACCCTCCATTCATATTGCTCTTGTTGTGATATTGGTTTGCTGTCCGGTGTGGTCCAGAGGAGGATGGGCTCCCTTTTGTGTCTTGGATCCTCTCAAGGTTTCTTCGTCTTGCTCTGAGGGAGTTTTTCTTGCCGCTGTCGCCCTTGGCGACGCTCACTGGGGCTTGGGCTCAGATTTTCTGTGAAGCTCCTGTTGTAAAAAGCGCTAAATTAATACATTTTGACTTCACTTGGACGTGAATAAAATATCACTGTTGTCGAAAGAAAACCTCGTATCCCCAACATGGTAACTTTACAGGAGAAGGAAAAAACCTGCTTTACTTTTAATGTAAGTCAATGGAACCAGACTTTTTACCAAGTAATTTTGGCCTGTTTCTTTTAGTCCATTCATCATGGAATTTGCACACAAGGTAGAGGGTAACAGGTATTTTCAAATTATGTCAAAAACTGAAAAACGTCAAAAATGGAGATACAAGGTTTTCCTCCAACAACAACATCATATATTGGCTCAGTTGCTGATCTTCAGTTTACTTCGTTTGCCATGGTTGTGTTAGTGTAGCACGTTTTATTTGCTACCTACGAAGCCCTGCTGGTGACATCCTGTATAAATAAAATGAATGAGTAGCTTTGACTTAGTAAGTAAAGGAACGAGATAATTAAGTTGTGGCCACAACTTAGTAAGGCATGAGAACAGGATAATTAAATCATGGCCAAGACTTAGCAAGGCGTGGGAACAGCATCCTAATGCACGGCCACGACTTAATAAGGCGTGGGAAAGAGATAATTAAGCCTTGATCACCGGCCTTGACCTTGTTTAATAAGCCATGATCTCATTCGCCGCCTTACTAAATCGTGGTCATGTCTTAATTATCTAAAAAAATAAATAAAATGAATGCATGGCTATGACTAAGTCATAAGGTGTGGGAATGAGATAATTAAGTAGTGGCCACAACTTGGGAACAAGATACAACCCCATTTCCAAAAAAGTTGGGTCGCTGTGCGAAGTGTAAATGAAAACAAAATGCAATGATGTGCAAATCATTTAAACCCTATATTTATTTGAAAATAGTACAACATATCAGATGCTATTTTATTGTTTTTTGCAAAATAAATGCCCATTTTGAAGTTGATGGCAGCAACATGTTCCAAAAAAGTTGGGACGGGGGCCTGTTTACCTCTGTACTACATCACCTCTTCTTTTACCAACACTTTGTAAGCGTTTAGGAAATGAGGAGACACTGCGTGGCCACAACTTGGTAAGGCATGGGAACGACATCCTAATGCAAGGCCACGACTTAGTAAGGTGTGGGAACGAGATAATTGAGCCCTGACCATAGCTTAATAAGGCATGATCTCATTCCCAAGCCTTACTAAGTCATGGCCATGACTTAATTATCTCTTTCCCACACCTTACTAAGTCGTGGTCATGCATTAGGATCTCGTTCCCATGCATTAATATGGTGTGGCCACACGTTATTTATACGCGATGTCACCAGCAGGACTCTGGAGTTACCAGTTGGCACAGTTAAATTATGTAAATTGGAAACGCCATGTAGGTGCAACTTAGGGGTCGATGCGAAGTGATGCTCCCACTCACAGTTCTGATTGGGGTCGTCTGTATATAGTGTTGCATGAAAGGAGAGGGAGTCGTATCCAGATGGTGTAGCTGGAGGCAGTTTCGTGTGGAAATCGTGACTATAATCCATGAAGACTTATCCAGCTGCCAAGTTCACTCTGATCAGCTAGTTGCCTTGGCCAGACACCCTGCTACACCATGCAGCCCTCTCAATATGCTTTCGCTCGTGTTAATCCAAAGAGCCATGATTGTTATTGGTCCACTGACACGTCAGAAAGATGCTACATTGTTTGTACATGAATAAAATGCATAGCATCGGTTTATTTACTTTTGGCAATAATTCCTGTGAATGTAAAATACACTGTATGTCCAAAAGTGTCCAGACAGCTCTTGTACTGTGTGAATTCCACTAATTTAAGGTCACCAGAACTGACCATCCAACATCAGTACCTGACCTCACGAATGCTCAATCAGATCCTCACAGCAATGTTCCAACATCTAGTGTAAAGCCTTCCCAGAAGAGTAGAGGCTGTTACTGCAGCAAAGGGGGACAAATTTAAATTGAATGAAATTATACAGGTGTCTACAGACGTTTAGACATATACTGTGTCATATTCATATAGAAATGTTGGACACATTACAGTCAGTTAAACTCAGTGCATCACTTCTTCCAGTGAGAGGCTGTGTTGCAGTGACTGTTGTTGTCTGACTCAGACTGATCCACAGTTGGCCGTCACTAATCCAGCCAGCAAGGTTTCTGCCCAAAGGATTAGCTTCATTAGGATGTTGGCAGGCAGAAATTTGGATGGGACGGTTCCAGAGTGTAAGGCAAGAATCTATTACAGTCTGGCATCAGGCAACTCACCCAGTGCCATTAAAGGTCATTAAAGAGAGTTTATAACCACCGCTGTCCACTGTCAGTCTAACGCGCCGTAGATAAGGCAGGTTTATTTATATAGCATTTTTCACACCCAACGACGATTTAAAGTGCTTCACATATCACTGCTGTCGTGAGAAAGCCTCGTATCTCTGAGACAGTATCTTCACAGCAAAAAGAAAACGCATTCCTCACTTCAATGATCAGTCGTTCAGAAGTTTGGGTACCCCTGCTCAATGTTTTGTTCCTCTACAAAGAAGACACTTCTGCATGCTTTCATGCACAGTTACTGTTTACTCTGCTGAGTTTTATGTGTTGGGGGAAAAGTAAAACACAAAATGTGGCCTGTGCCATATTTTACATTTTATGCTAAACATGTTAAATAAATAGAAATTGTGCATTAAAATTTGCATTAAAATGTCATATTTATCTGTGTTCTCTGTAGCATTTGCAATGTGCATTTTTGTATGTATCTTCAGTAATGTTGATGGGATATACTTCAGTGGAAATGAGTATGATTTAACTGGATACACTGTCTTCGTATTTGACCAAGTAGGTCAACATTTCTAAAAGTGTTGTTATTGTGTTTAAATGCTGTTTGTTTATTGTGTCAGTTGCGCATGACTGTGTGATACGAGGAAATCTGCAGTTGTGTGTAAAGGTGTGAATTGTTTTTCACCCTTTTCACCCCCTCATTGCTCACTAGCAGCTCAACACAGTCACAGCATTGCACAGAGAGAGACAACAGCATCCCAGTTCAGCTGTTAACAGAGTTACGGAAAATAAATATGAATAAATTGCTGCAGAGAGAGGCTACTGAAATGGACCAATAGAAACCATTTCTGTTCGTCCATAAAATGTTTACAGTCTAAAAAGTATCTGCTGACTTCAAATGGGTTAAAAAATAAAAAGCAAATAAAAGAAGCAGCAGCATACAAACAAATTTGCAGAAACCATTTGAAGAATTAAAAATATTAATATAAAAAGTATTAAAGTCTTGTTGAGCAGATGTTTCTGTAAACATCTCTATGTCTAAGTTTAAACACCCCTGATCAAATTCTGTTTTTTTTTAGGCACCATTTCTGTTTATTTGCTGAGTTTAACATATTGGAAAATAATAAAATATACAATATAAAGTTTGCACAGGCCACATTTATTGTTTTTTTTTCCAATAAGTTAGGTTCAGCAAATAAAGAGTAATTATGCATTAAAACGTGCAGAAGTAGTAGAGGATGTATTCATTTATTTTCACTTAGAAAATCAGTTAAACATAGAAATTTGACCGGGGCGCACAAACATTTTCATATGACTGTGTAAATTACATAAATATGTGGCTGTGCGGAAGTGTTTATTTGATGCTGTTCCTGTGTTTGTGTGCTGTAGCCTCCCTGCGTTCTGAGCTGAACCACCTGCATGCCACAGCTATAGAGCACCTGCGACAGGTACACCTGCAGGAGAACACGGCGGCCAAGCGAGAGCTGGACAACACTATGGAGCGCTGCGAACAGCACGTGAGTAACTATGGGTCATTTTAGTCAAACTTGTTGTTTGAATTGTAGGAATAATTAAAGAAATTGACGTTTGAAATGTAATACATTAAAACAAATCAAGACAAAGAAGACTTAATGAACAAAAAAAACATTTAAAAAATAAATAATAGCTTAAATAAGATAGATTGAACAGCAATAAGAAAGGAATGAAAACACATAAATAGTATATAAAAACAACTAAGATAAAAGATGTTAAAAATAGTAAAATAAAATAAAACAGTAAAAGAACTAACATCAAATAAAACAGTTGCAGGCTGAGTGGAGATGGTTAGAGATGGTAAAAGCTGAATTTCCCAGTTCTGTAAACCTCTAGGAACCTGCCAGGTGATCCAGTCACTAGAGCAAGTCTGATAAACACCATTATTTACAGGCAGCGTAGATGTGATATAAGATCACATATATAAGGACTGTTATGGACTGTCATAGAAAAGTCACGGTAAAACAGGTGCTAATTGTGTGTCTGTTACAAACTGTACAGGCCTGTGATTTACCTGGAATTGGCATAAAATGTGATTACAACACTGCTAGCTTGGCGCTAACAACACTGTAAGTTCCTATACGGATGCTAACGGAAATTAGCACTGTTCTAGTAACTAAACAGACAGTGAAAGGCTGTTTATAAAACAGATTACAAGGTTTCTGCGTTAAACATTGCTTTGTAATGACACAACAGGTAGATCTTTGATTGATTTTACAGCTCTACCTGGTTCACAGCATAAACAAAACCGAAGAGTTCATGAAATGACTGGACGCTTTACATGCCGTCCTATTAGTAGTTGCACTTTCTCTCCACAGGTTCAAACACATACAGTAAAAGCTTAAGTTTGCTGAAATAAGTTCTGTATTAAGTCGGGAAAATCTGTCGATTGTCTCTACATGTCGTAGCAGTTTCTCCAGGTTTTAGGACACAATTCTACTTCATGAGTTATGAATATATATATATGAATATATATCCATCCATCATCTAAACCGCTTATCCTTCTGGGTCGCGATGGGGTGCTGGAGCCTATCCCAGCTGTCATTGGGCGGAAGGCAGGATACACCCTGGACAGGTCACCAGTCCATCACAGGGCAGACAGACAGACATACACATTCACATTCACACACTCACTCACACCTAGGGGCGATTTAGCACGTCCAATTGGCCTGACTGCATGTTTTTGGACTGTGGGAGGAAACCAGAGTACCCGGAGGAAACCCACGCAGACACGGGGAGAACATGCAACTCCACACAGAAACGACCCTGGTCACCCGGCCGGGACAGCGCTACCCACTGCGCCACCGTGCCGCCCTATGAATATATATGAATGATATAATAATTTAACATTATATTAGAACTGACTATTAAAACTTACTCATCACTGCACTGTACAAAGGCATCCATTGAAAATGTGCATGATATCATGCGCCATTGAAGTATTTGCTGCTGGAGAGCATCTTTAAAGTGACGAGTGCATGTGGCGTTCCGTAACCGGGACTGAGAGACGCTAAACTACTACAGTCACAGAAGTACTGTATTGATGATTTTTTTGTTTGATAACACTTCTGCATTGTAATTTCCCTGTTTAATACTGTATTTGTGGGTCCCTCACATTCCTTGAAGACATAACAGACATGATTTATTCATTGTTTGGCAGGATATCTGAGTGCTGGTCGGGGGGAATCAGTTAAAAGCGTACACTCGGGGGTAGGAATACATTAAAAACTGCTGACGAGTGACGCGTTGCAACTTTAAACAGTTTCTCTGACCCTGAACAAGATTTCATACTTCAAATACCTGCTATCAGCACTGTGTTCCATATGCAGGGACAGCAGTAAATCTCAGTGCAGTTTTTAAAGTGTCTTTCTGTCTTCGTTCTTAGTTGGGTTTTGAGTTTAGTAGATCGGCACCATGGAGGGGTGCTAAACATTTGCTCTTGTGTTTGTCTTGCGTAATGAATAAAGAGTACAGTTTGAAGAGCCAATATTGTACAGTTTTTTGCAGTGGTTTTAGTTGTGATTCATTTTTACATGGAATTTATTCCAACCTCTCTTTATTGCTAACAATGAAATGGGCTCATACCCTACATTTTTTACATTCTGTTTTTTTTTCTCCTCCTCTTATAACATTTTTAAGGTTTATATACCAAAATCATTTTTATGATCATTTTTCAGCCTCTTTATAGCCCTTAGAATTAAACAGGCTGTTTTTGTTACTGTGCCTTTAAGGCTGATTTATGTAGATGCACTCTGTTCTGATTGTCTGACCTCTGCTTTGATAAATAAGCAGTCTGGCTGAAACACTTCTTGTAGCTTTGCTGTAAATGGGCGGGCTAAACTGCTAAAGGCTGAATAGGCAAATATATGTAAATGATTCGATTTCTGGTTTGACATCACAAAAAGAAAAACAGGCTGTTTTTGCTCATAACTATATATGGACTGTGGAGTAAACAGTATGTTTTGAAAACAACAATGTTTACATATTACATCAAACTATTTTACATTTGAAAAAGTGAGAAAAGCAAGTTTTGTATGTAAATGAGGTCTCTTCTGATTGGCCACCCTGTATTGTACCTTGTTGAGAAAGCAGCCTGGGCTGAAACTGTTATAAGCTGAATGGGCGGGGCTAAACTGTTGTAGGCTGGATGGGCGGGGCTAAACTGCTGCCGTCTGAATGGTGTGGCTAAACTGCTGTCAGGGGAATGGGTGGAGCTAAACTGCTGTTGGGTGAATGTGTGGGGCTGAACTGATGTAGGCTGTTTGGGTGGGGCTGAACTGATGTAGGCTGTTTGGGTGGGGCTGAACTGATGTAGGCTGTTTGGGTGGGGCTGAACTGCTGTAGGCTGAATGGATGTGGGCTGAACTGATGTGAGGCTGCTTGTGCTGTGGGGCTGAAACTGCTGTAGGCTGAATGGGTGGGGCTAAACTGCTGTAGGCTGAATGGGTGGGGCTAAACTGCTGTTGGGTGAATGGGTGGGGCTGAACTGCTGTAGGCTGAATGGGTGGGGCTAAACTGCTGTAGGCTGAATGGGTGTGGCTAAACTGCTGTGGGCTGAATGGGTGGGGCTAAACTGCTGTAGGCTGAATGTGTGGGGCTGAACTGCTGTAGGCTGAATGGGTGGGGCTAAACTGCTGTAGGCTGAATGTGTGGGGCTGAACTGCTGTAGGCTGAATGGGTGGGGCTGAACTGCTGGAGGCTGAATGGGTGGGGCTAAACTGAATGGGTGGGGCTAAACTGCTGTAGGCTAAATGGGTGGGGCTAAACTGAATGGGTGTGGCTAAACTGCTGTAGGCTGAATGGGTGGGGCTGAACTGCTGTAGGCTGAATGGGTGGGGCTAAACTGCTGTTGGCTGAATGGGTGGGGCTAAACTGCTGTAGGCTGAATGGGTGGGGCTAAACTGAATGGGTGGGGCTGAACTGCTGTAGGCTGAATGGGTGGGGCTAAACTGAATGGGTGTGGCTGAACTGCTGTAGGCTGAATGGGCGTAACAACTGCTGCTAGAGGATGTGTTGACTTACTTTCACTTAGAAAATCAACGAAACATGTCATTCGATAGGGGGTGTTTAAACTTACGCATACAACTGTACATCAGCTCTCACTTCTCTGTGATATGTGCCGTTAAAGCATTTACAGAAGTGCTGTTCAGCAGTGAGCGTGGAAGAAGTGAAGACCTGCAGGCTGGCTTTATTTCATCTGTGCTCTGGAGACAGAGACAGATTTGAAGATAGAGAAGGAGACAGAGATGGAGAGATATGAGTCTTCCTGGCTGAATTTATTAAGAACCAAAGCGACGACACGTATCTGCTTTCTCCTGGTGCAAAGAGTGGAAGGTCTGAGCAGAGCAGGAGCTCAGACAGAGATGAATTCACTGCAGGTTGAGTCGCACTTTACAGGAAAGTGAACGATCAAGATGATGAATAAAGGATAGGAGAGAGTTCTGCTCAAGCTTTTACACCACCGTTTCCTCAGTGGCCTCCTAATCTCTCTCTCTCTCTCTCTCTCTCTCTCTCTCTCTCTCTAATATCACTTTCCCATTTCTTACTCACTTTCACTCGCTCTCTCTTCCCTTCTCTCATGTACAGCTCACTTCGGTTAATAATACAGCACAATGGTATTCCTTTTAATGTGACCTAGTTAAATATTTTGTAAGCCCCTGGGCTTGGCAGAAACTCTACCACTGCCTTTTGTAAGCAGATTCTGAAACATTTCAGTTAAATCGGAAGGATTTGCACTGCACTGAGCATTTCAGTTCAAATCTAAGCTCACTTTGGACACTCAGTCTTTCATCTCTGGAAGCAATGTGAACAGCATTTGGACGTTTCCTTCAACCCTTTAAACTCTGTATGTGTGTCTGCAAATCCAGTTTCTCACTTTCAGAACTATGAACCTTTACCGTTACAGTTAGGCCTTCAGTTCGGACCATAAATGTCAAAAATGAGAAAAAACACCTACGATAATGTCAGCGCCTCTGTGAGATTCTAGTGGTATGTTAGCGCTAAGATTAAACACAGACATTTAAAGCGTGTAAAAACATTCCATATGTTTTATCTGAAGCTTCTAATAGACATTAACACATATCAGAGCTTGTATGTATCAGTTTTACAGGAAAGAGTCCTGACATAGAACTGCCGCCGCTGTTTTCCATTCCTAACAACAAACCAGTGCCTGCTTAGACTACAGCTCGTATTCACAGTCAGTGATGTATCTAGAACTTCCAGAAGGGCAGTTTTTGTTCCAGTTGGTTTCATTGTAATTGGTTGATTCCTCTGTCACTTTCCCAGTTATGTTGGTAGTTAATCTAATGTGTAAGGCCTTCAGTCCAACTCCTGAAGTCCTAACCAATGTGAGAGCTCTCTTGGCTGCATCCACCTACACCCAAAAAGTAGATCTGAGTAATTCATAAATGTTAATAATTTATCTTAATATTTAAATTGTTTTTATTACTAAATAAGATGTAAGGGTGAGTGAAATGAACTTAAGGGTATATTATAGTATTTTTAACTATCAGTTATATCTTAATGTACCAAAATCTAATTAATTAACAAAATTAATCATATCTTATAAAACCCTCAGAGTTAATACAGTTTATAACTTTTCTAAAACAAAACCTGGTGAGACAGTAACACTGTAGTACGCTCTCAGAAATAAAGGTACTAAACTGTCACTGGGGCAGAACTCTCAAGGGTCCATCTCAGTACCTTTAGTCAGGGAACATAACTGAACCATAATCCACTGAAATGATATGTTCTAAGCTGTACTGACTCCACACACCCCGTCTCGTCTCCAGGCTTTTATTTTACTGTTCTGTTTTAAAACATTCGGTTATGAAAAGGTACAAATACGAACTTTTCACCAGGAAAAACTTAGTTAAGGTTCACAATCAGACCTTAAAACCACTGTTGTACCTTTGAGGGAACATTTACACTGTTTGTACCTTGATGAATCAGAAATGTATCTGCTTTCTAACAGTGTAACTTGAAGGGTTTTCAGGAGGTGAAAAGGCTGCCGGCGTTTCCACCTTTAGCTAACATCATTTGCACAGTATTATTTGTTGTTTTTGTTTTGCGTCAACACTGTAAACAGTTTTAAATTACGAGCTGTGCATGTTGTTGACTTTACAAACATTGCTTCAAGTTTATTTGTCTTGAAGGTGAGTCTGTTTGTGCTTTGTTGCTTTTGGACTTGACAGTGTCCACAATATGGTGAAATCCAAATCATGAGACAGCAGTCACTTTTATACCGGTACACGTCCCAAGCCTGTAGTTTAAGAGGGTAATGTGCGGACACTAAACAGCGTGCGTGTGTTTTAGGAGCAGGACCTGCTGGGTCGTATCTCAGATCTGCATCAGGAGGTGAACTGCAGGAAGAACCGAATCGCCGACCTGGACCACGAGATCCACTCGCTAAACGAAACCATCAGCACACTGACCAAGGAGCTGGAGCTGAAGGGCAAAGAGGTGCTGCGCATCCGCAGTGAGGCCAACCTGCAGATCAGGTCAGCACAAAGACACTGCCGGGAGTTTCACACACAGCTTACACTGACCTAGAATTTTCCTCCCCATTCACACTGCTCTAGAATGTTCTCCCAATTCAGCCTGTTTTACAATGTTCCCCATTCACATTGTTCTAGAATGTTTTCCATCATTCACAAAATTCACAAAATTATGAAATTACATTTAAACAGTATGATGATAATAATAACTAAGCCTTATTAGAACATTATGGAACATTGAGAAAAGGAGATAACATTCTAGAACAGTGTGATTGGGGCGAACAGTATGAATTGGCAAGAGCATTCTAGAGTACTGTGAGTGAGGAGGATGCTTCTAGAAGAGTGAGAATGAGAGAGAACATTCTAGAACAGTGGGAATTGGTGAGAACATTCTAGAACTTGGCCAATAGGGAGAAGCATTCTAGAACAGTGTGAGTATAGAAGAACATTCTGGAACAGAGAGAACAGGAACATTCTAGAATCATATAAACAGGGAGAAAATTCTAGAGCAGACTGAATGGGGAGGAACATTCTAGAACAGTGTACGTAAGGAAGAACATTCTGGAGCATTGAGAAAAGGAGTTAACATTCTAGAACAATGTGAATGGGAAGAACAGTGAAATGGCAAGAGCATTCTAGAATACTGTAAGTGAGGAGGATGCTTCTAGAACAGTGAGAACAGGAAAGAATACTCTAGAACAGTGGGAGTTGGTGAGAACCCTCTAGAACTGGGTTAATAGGGAGAAATATTGTAAAACAGTGTGATTATAGAAGAACATTCTGGAACAGTAAGAATAGGAGCTAACGTTCTAAAATCACATGAACGGGGGAACATTCTAGAGCAGAGTGAATAGGGAGGAACATTCTAGAACGGTGAACATTAGGAAGACAATAGGAGATAGCATTTTAGAACAATGTGAATGGGGAGAACGTAGTGAATTGGCAAGAGCTTTAGTATACTGTGAGTGAGGAGGATGCTTCTAGAACAGTAGAGAACAGGAAGGAATATTCTAGAACAGTGTGAGTAATGACATTACATGTCATGTCTGGTTATAAATGTCTAAAATAAGTCGCATCTACAGAACTGCTGTCTGTCAGTTCACCGGAATAATTGTGTTGATGTATCAGACTTTATTAGTGTCATATTTAGCCTGGGTTAATTGAATTTAGTTCAGCACAGCATGTAAAATGTTGAATAAATAAATATTGTATTTTTAGTTTTTCATAGTATGTTTTTAAATGTGGCACCATTGTTTTTTTTTTAGTCTGTTTAAACTTATCAAACTTCAAAAAAAACAAAATTGTGTATTTATGTATATATGTATAGTGAAAATGCGTGTTTTTGCCATATTTCCAACCCCTAATTCACAGCACTATTGTTTTTTCCGTATGTTTACTGGGTTGGCATGCTCTAGCCTTGAGGGTTAAAGCCGGACTCACAAAATATTTATGCCATACAGCCTCAGTGTGGTAGTTTATTTAGTTTAATGGCCATTTGTTTCATAAGAGAAAGCATCTCCAGCCGCTCAGTCGTAGAGGTTAATTTAGCCGGCACCAGGAGACCAGGCGAAGAGATATTTCCTGGCGAAAGAAGCCATGGCCCTTAGGCAGAGTGAGTCAGTATCTCTCTCTGCAGCCTCCTTCACACACAGGACTCCCTCTCTGCTCATAAGAATAAACCACACAACATCCTCTCAGCCAGCGGAGGTGTAGCACACAGACAAATAAACACATTTTCTTCAGCTTTTCTTCAATGAGGAGGCGTCTCTGAGCGCTGAAGGAAGAAATACACTGTAAGAAATAAGAATAAAGGCCCAGTAATTGTTGAAAGGAAATGTTCAAAAACATTCACTGTTTGGACCACTGAGCAAAACTGTTGACCGCTGTCAAGGTTTTGTACATGTGTTAGAGCAGTGTGTTTGACTGAGGCCTTCTAGAACCAGAGCTGGACTGACCTATTCGTTTTTTCATAGCTACTGAAACTTTACTGCACAGTATTAAAAAAATCCCTGTAGAACAGACTCAGATTATATCACAATACCTACATTTAGAGTCGGTTATTCATCCAGCCTAATGAGGAACTGTAGAACGGACTCAGTTTATATCACAATACCTACATTTAGAGTCGGTTATTCATCCAGCCTAATGAGAAACTGTAGAACGGACTCAGTTTATATCACAATACCTACATTTAGAGTCGGTTATTCATTCAGCCTAATGAGAAACTGTAGAACAGACTCAGTTTATATCACAATACCTACATTTAGAGTCGGTCATTCATTCAACCTAATGAGAAACTGTAGAACAGACTCAGTTTATATCACAATACCTACATTTAGAGTCGGTTATTCATTCAGCCTAATGAGAAACTGTAGAACGGACTGAGTTTATATCACAATACCTACATTTAGAGTCGGTTATTCATTCAGCCTAATGAGAAACTGTAGAACGGACTCAGTTTATATCACAATATCTACATTTAGAGCCAGTTATTCATTCAACCTAATGAGAAACTGTAGAACAGACTCAGTTTATATCACAATACCTACATTTAGAGTAAAATGTTTGCCTAGTGGCAAATTAGTCATTGTTGTTTTAAACCTACCTAGTTTCAATTAGCCACAGCAACACAGTGCAAACTCAGTGTTATGTAGCTAATCTAAAGAAAGTGTGCTACAACTTCCTCATTAGGTAGAATGGTGATACACTGGTGGTGATAGGAACCAGGGGTCACCATGACTACAACACAAATATAGACATTTTATTTACTAAAACTATATCTCAGACATCAGGCAGCATATTTATATCCATTTCATATAATAGCGTTCTATGAAGGAGCTTTTAGAGGCTTTAAATGCTTCTTCTTTCTGGTTCCTGTCACCATCATTGAAGAGAAAACCATCATCAAACCACTCTTAATGACTTTGTTTACATCTTAGGAATTGAATTATGCAACATTCTGAATAGTCGGTGGAATTCCCCTTTAAGGCCCAGAGACAACCACCAACTAGACAACCTCCTTACAGCAGAAAATTGCCCACCCATTACCATAATCAGAGAGAAAAAATAATGTTAAACAACCTGTACGGTTGCCTTGAAATTAGTAAAGGCTAATAAACCAGAACTCTGTTTTACAGCATTAGGCATGGATGTCTATGGTGAATGATTGAAGATCATTTTACAGTACTGAACCATCTTTTCTTTACCACGGTCAACTACTACAACTCACTAGCTATCAAGTAACCTATAGGAACTAGTACAGTTCACATAAGTTCTCTCTATCAAAAGCAACAGTGGAGCAAGCTAATTCTTTGTTTATTGGTAAAAAGTGTGGTTCCATGCTTTTTTTTGCAACCAACAGCTGTGTAAACATGATGAGAGCGTCCACTGAGCACTTTCTCAGTCTCATTTAATTATTAAAGGTGGAAAATAGTCATACATAAGAATACAACAACCTTTTTTTAACTGGCTTCTGGGAACTTTTTTTAATGATCAGAAATATCAAGGGTTTAGACCTCCTGGGCCTGCCCATAGACACGCTCCTGCCTCACGGTCTGAACAGTGATGTTTGTGTTAAATGTGTTTCCAGGGCTCATGAACAGGATCTGTCCAAGAGGCACGAGAGGGAGTTGGCGGAGTTGAACATGTCCCATAACAGAGAAACTCAGATCATGTTTTCAGATTTCAACAAAGCTCAGGAGCTTCTGAAGGACAAGATCTCTGCTCTCCAGATCCTGTGAGTTCCTCTTTTTCTGCATCTGTGATTACGCTGGGAAAAAAAAGGAATGTATTGAATTTAGTTGAATCGAATGTGTACATAAATGTATGTTTTTAAAGGGCCCATATCGTGTTAAAATGAATAGCCATTACCTTTTAAAAGAAAACATTTGATGTCTAAATAATTTAAATAGATGGACTGTCTATAATGTGAATGTACTATTCGCTCCCCAGTCAATATGTTAGATTTATCATGGCTGTGATGTGATTCTAAGGTAAAATGTTTTTCCCTGTACAAAATAAAAAAAATAAAATGCAAGAAAATGTAGAATGTGAGCTTTTTAATGTCAGAAATCAAAACATGTACATCATATATATATGTATATATATATATATATATATATATACATGAAATAAAATCTGTAATGTATGTATATGGACAAAAGTATTGGGACACCCCGCTTAATCATTGAATTTAGGTATATCGTTCAGTCTTACTGCCACAGGTGTATAAAAGCAAGCACCTAGCCATGCAGTCTGCCTTTACACACATTAGTGAAAGAATGGGTTGTTCTAAAGAGCTCACTCAATTCAGGCGTGGTGCTGTAATAAGATGCCATCATTGCAACAAGTCAGTTCGTGAAATTTCTTCCCTCCTAGATATTCTGTGATCAGCTGTGAGTGGTATTATTGAAAAGTGGAATCGTTTAGGAACCACAGCAACTCAGCCACGAAGTGTCAGACCATATAAAATTACAGAGCGGGTTGCCGAGTGCTGAGGAGCATAGAGCATAAAAGTCACCAACACTCTTCTGATCAAAAACTGCAGAATTTCAAACCTCCTCTGCATTAACATCAGCACAAAAACTGCACCGGGAGCTTCATGGCAGGGTTTTCATGGCCAAGCAGCTGCATGCAAGCCTTACATCACCAAGCACAATGCCAAGCGTCGGATGGAGTGGAGTAAAGCGCCGCCACTGGACTCTGGAGCAGTGGAAACGTATTCTGTGGAGTGATTAATCACACTTCTCTATCTGTCAGTCTGATGGACGAGTCTGGGTTTGGCGAATGCCAGGAGAACGTTACCTGCCTGACTGCACTGTGCCAGCTGTAAAGTGTGGTGGAGGAGGGATGATGATATGGGGTTGCTTTTCAGAGGCTGGTCTAGAACCCTTAGATCCAGTAAAGGGAAATCTTAATGCTTCAGTACCAAGACATTTAGGACAATTCTATGCTTCCAACTTTGTGGGAACAGTTTGGGGAAGAACCTTTTCTGTTCCAGCATGACAGAGCCCCAGTGCAGAAGAACTTGACTGGCCCTCACAGAATCCTGACCTCAACCCCATCCAACACCTCACAAATGCTCTTCTGGATGAATGGACACAAATTCTCACAGACTCTCTCCAAAATCTTGTAGAAAGCTTCCCAGAAAAGTGGAAGCTGTTATAGCTACAAAGGGGGACTCTCTCCATATTAATGTCTATGGATTTACAATAGGATTCATAAAAGCTCTTGTAGGTGTAATGTGTGTGTATACATATATGTATATATATATATATATATATATATACATATATATATATATATATATATTAATGATTGTATGGTTCTGCTGTTTGGTTTACACTGTTTTGTAACATTTGCATGTGTTTATTTACACAGGCTGGAGGGCACAGAGGAGAAGTTTAGGAACAGAGAGAGTCGGCCTGAGGACCTGCAGACCATCGCTGAGCTCCGAGAGATGGTGGCGGAGAGAGAGACTCTGGTCAAAAAGCTGGTGGTGAGTATTATGAGGAGACTGAACTTTATTGTTTGTTGGCACAGAAATACATCTTGCACCACAAGGTCCGGTAATCACCAGACATAAAAAACAGTGAACTTGATTCAAATATGTGCATCATTTCTGCATTAAGAAAATATATTACATCAACACTTTTTTCAGTTTACTTAACTTTTGCAGTAATTGTGTTGATGTAATATCATTGACTTAGGTGGGAATGACGTACACATTTGAATCGAGTATATACTGTGAACCTGCATTTACATTACAGTGAAGTGAATCACTTGTCAATACAGTTCATGCAGGATTAGCTGTCCAAAGTAAAAGCATCATCTTTGCAGAGATCTGTTTTCACTTTGATGTGACAGAGTCTGTTTCTGCTGATTATTGTCAAAATAAAACAAACTACACCACTGTGATTTACACCTGCTGGTGACATCCAGTATACATAATAATAACATGTGGCTATGATTTAGTAAGGTGTGGGAACCAGATAATTAAGTCATGGCTCTGACTTAGTAAGGCATGGGGATGAGGTCCTAATGCATGGCCATGACTGAGTAAGGCATGTGAATGAGAAGCCTAGAACAACTTAATTAGGCATGATCTCATTCTCATGCCTTACTAAGTTGTGGCCACACGTTATTTTTATTTATATGGGATGTCACCAGCAGGGCTCTGTGGTGATTCAATATTCTCCCACACAGATGAAAACCTTTAAAAGAGGCTGTAGCTTTACTCTGAGTGAGGTACATGACAAAATGCACCACATTTGAGCAGTCTGGCTCTCCAGTAGCCCTCCATGCAGGACTGCTGCCTGTCTGCACTGACATTAATAGAGGCTTTGCTCTGCTGTAATGTAACTGCAGTCTGAGATATAAATGATGTTGCATATAAGAGTATTCATTTCAGTGGAGCTCAGTGCTGCTACAAACCCTCTTAAACTCGTTTACACAGAGTGCGCCTCCTTCGTTCCAGGACGATAAGAAGTTCTACCAACTGGAACTGGTGAACCGAGAGACGAGCTTCAACAAAGTGTTCAACACCAGCCCCAACGTGGGGGTCATTAACCCCCTTATTAAGGTAATTACGTCACTCTACGCTTATCAGATACTGTGGAAAAATTCAGAGCAGTATTGCAAGTTTGCGGTTCTTAAATGAATCCTGAACTTAAATGAATATGATAAAATAATGTAAAAATAAACTGAATTAATACGTTATCAGCTACTGGAATACTGATGCATCTGTCCCTTAAATAATGGAATGGGTTGTTCTTTCTGCATGATGAGAATTTTTACTTTTGCCTCTTAGTTGTTTAAGCTCTTACTTTTCTGTGAAGTGTAAGGTTTGTCCGTGTGACCTCATTGTCGGTGTCTACTTTTATCCATGTTCCCGACATCAAACTCTTACTTACTTTGCTTTCCAAGCCATTCTTCGTCACTGCTCGTCCACAGTGGTGTGTGTTCATTGTTTCAATTCGCCAAAGCTGGAAGCTAAATTTAGTCAGCACTCCCGTCTACGCTAAAAAAAAACAAGAAAAACAACAAAACCCTTTTTGTTTGTGTCCTTTCAATGTAGCATAAGAGTAGAAAGGCTGCAAACAGATTCGTCAGCTCTCCAAACCTAAGTGTTGTGGCAGTGGAAGGGAGGGGGGCGGGGCCTACCTGCCTAGAGTCTGTCCAAAGCTCCCCCAGTCAGCATGCAGGGCACAAAGCTCCGCCCCAGGCCCAGCCCACGCGGAGGTGAGCCCCACCTCGTCATCCAGCGTCCGTCCTCCTCTATCACACGCACTTCCCACCATGGCAAGAGACGTGCTTTAACTCACTGACCTGTCTGCCATTGGTTTGATCACACTGTCTCTCAATCCAGCAGTTTAGTCGTGGAAAGACGTGTCAGTTTTTGTTTTTTTTGTTTTTTTTCTGTTCATTTTCTCTGGGTTTGGAATTTTTTGGTCAAAATTAGGAAGAAGTAGCTAAAACACAGTGTGTCCACAGTGATGTGTGGATGTGTGTGCTTGCCTCACTCTCTGATGCATCTTGTCGACCAATCAGTGCACACAAAAGAATGCTTTGTGTCCTGATTTTACCAAGCATGGACAGTTTCTTGCACATTATAGCTCTCCGTCTTTGTTCTTGTCATGTATGAGCAGAAAATTCAGGGAAATTCACAGAGTCTACAGCGCAGTGTGACCCCAGAGAGGGGCCACTGGCATTGACGTAAACACTGTGTGATCTTAAAATGGCATTGGAATGCAAAAAAGGCAAAGCATGCTGTGGACCACCTCCTGTGTCCACCGTTTTTTGGGGATTTGCATGTTTGAATAGGTGGATGTGAACATAAAGCAACACTGTGAGTCGTTTTCATCCGGCCATCCGTCTCCTCTTCACACCTTCCGTGTTTTTACTGTTTACATTGAAGCCGTTTGTGTAGAATTGCGTGTGCCCTCCTCTCCAAACACAAAGCCGGCACTGTTTAATGTGCTGTCTTAGTTGCCAGTTTATTAGGTCCACCTACCTTAGCTGCACTCATTGGCCATTTTATCAGAATGACTTAGGTTTTTCAGCAGATGTTTCTGAGGAGATTAGATATAAGATGTAAAAAATAAATCCACTAGCATTAGGAAGGAGAAAGTCTAAGGAAAAAAAATGGAGTTCAAAAATGATTAAGAGCTTCAGAGAAAACGAGACTCCTAACAACCACCTGGAAGAGCTGGTAGACCCCAAAACTGCCCCATCAGATAAACAGCACTTAAAGCTTTCATCTCTGAGAGGGAGGAGAAAATCAAGCTGCTTCAGATCTGAAAACATCCACAAGTGTGTCTGTCCATCCTTCCACTGTGAGAAGACGACGCTGTCAAGAAGAACCTCACTGAGAAAAGGAGACGGACACATCAAACAAAGAAGCTGAACAATGGACTGACCACCCCAGAGTCCAGACCTCAACACCACTGAATGTGTTTGATTACTTCAGAAATTGATCAACCAGCTTCTAAGACTAAACTTCGGAAGATATGTCTGCAGATTTAAGTGAATTAGCCCTTCATCACTGGCCAGTTTCTGACCACAGAGCTGCTCCTGTCTGGATATTTTTGTGTGGAGGTCCACTCGTAACCCAGCAGTGATGCTGACATGTGTTTCTGATAAAGTGGCCAATGACTATAGGAACAAGACTGGTGAATCTAATAAACTGAGAACCTGGTAAATGTCAGTTGAGTGTGTGACAGCATTTACACCTATTTGTTAGTGGTGGACACGGCCTTGTTACCTGGCTTGAGCTCCAAACCATTACATTATACTGGGCAGTTCTGGGAGTGCTGCATTTTTACTTCTTATGAAGGGAAAAACAAATGTAACTCAGAATAATGGAGTCCTTTGTGGCAGCTCAGCACCTTAAAGCGATAATTCAACCAAAAATCACATTTACGGTTCCCCCTCACCCCAAATATAGTCAGTCAGCCAAGACATGTTTGGTGTCTGACGGCAACGCAAGTTTATCTATACTGCACCTGTGATACACTGCTGTCATTCAAAGTGCTGTACAAATGAGAAAATACAGTCATTTAAAAAGTAAAATAGAAGATTAGAAATTAAAACATGATCAAAACAATAGATTTAAAAGAGAGCATCATTAAATTAAAAATAAAATTAAAAATTACAAATTAAATTAGGGTAATGAAGTGCTCTTACAGTTGTCTGAAGTTTGCTTCGTTAGTTTTGCACTAAAGCTGAGGCTGATGTAGCCAATAAGCAGTGGAAGTTCAAGTAGACCATTTGTCCTGATGCGTCTCGCCTCAAACTGTGTGGTGGTGTTCAGTATTTCTAATAGACTTGATTATGTGGTTTCTAACACTGAATGACACTGTTATCTATAAACATGGACTAAAGTGTGTCACGTAACTTAAAACAGAAGCAGTAGACTGTTTTTTGTTCATACTTTGTTCATGTTTGTCCGTGTTACAGTTGTCTGTGAATGTTTAAACACCAGTATGTTAAATTCAGTACTCATTCAGTATTCATTTACAATAATTATGCAGTAAAATGTGCAGAGGTGTGTTCTTTGTAGAAAATCAATAAAACATGGAATTCGACCAACTTTCTGAAAATAACTGTATAAACCTGAAACTGAAAGCTACGTTAATCTTTCAGAAACATTTGTAGTCACTGATAAAATGGACTCTGATCTTAGTTTTAGCAGTCAACACAGTTACTAAATCAGCTTTTTATCACCTTAAGAACATCAACAAGATCAGAGATGTTCTGACTAAAGCAGACCTGGAGAACCTCATCCACACCTTTCTAGCAGGATTGATCACTGTAATGGTCGCCTAACTGGATTCACAAAAAAGACAATTCTTAAATCCTTACAGTGGGTACCACTGTAGTACCAGTTCCAGAATAGACTTTAAGACACTATTACTGGTCTATAAATCGCTCAGTGGTGCAGGACCAGCAAATTTATTTCATATGTTGCAGCGATATGAGTCGAGCAGAACTCTCAGATCATTAGGAACTGGTCAGTTAGTCCTGCTGAAGGTGAAGACTAAACATGGAGAAGCAGCGTTTGGCTACTACGCTGCTCTTAAATGAACCAGTTTACAGAGAGCATTAGAAGAGCCCCGACACTGGACACTTTAAATCCAGGCTCAAAACGTTCCTGTTTGAGCAGCTTTCAGCTCTGTAACGGCACTTTTTAATCCTAATTTAACTTTTGATTTTTTAACTATCCTAATTTAATTTGTAATTAGATTTTAAATTTAATGATTTTCTCTTAAATCTATTGTTTTAATCATGTTTTTAATTTCTATTCTCGTTTACTTTGCTTTTTGTATTTTCTGTATTTTCCAACTGTATTTTGTCATTTGTAAAACACTTTGAATGACAGCAGTGTATGAAAGTGTTATATAAATAAACTTGCCTTGCCTAAAATGTAACACAATATCATAAACTGTAGTGTTTGGCTCCAATAATGCACAAATAAGTGCTTTTTCAGATTGTCCTGGCTACTATGCATGCACATATCTGCACAAAAATGAGGGGCTTTTCCCGCTTACACCTTTATCAAAGGCCCAGTCCCATTTTTATAATTTTTACCTCTACCCCTTGATTTTAAGGGTCAACTTGCCTCTTGGAACTGAGTTGCAGGGGTGGTGGTTGAAATCTTCCCTCTGAAATGGGACCCTCAAATAAAAAGAGCATCACTTCATTAACAGCTACCAGCGCTGCTCTGTAGGCGACCCTGCCAGTCTGCAGTGACAGCAGAGGAGGGTAAAGTTCAGCTCCTCACTGCTGGACTTTAGTTACATTTAGGGATCATATGCCTTCAAGGAGGGGGGCAATTATTTATTATCACCCACCCCTAATTCTTCAGTGATATGAAGCTGAAGTCAGATATTCACCAGATTCTTGTTTGAATTTCCCCGTTCCACCTTAAATGGTGCAGCGGTTACATTCTAGCGCTTCAGGCGTCAGAACTGCTGGACTATTTAAGGTGGAATGGGAAAGTTAGCTAGCCAGCTACCAAGACTATTAGCGTGTTTTTATGCTTGTTACGAAGAAAATGAGCATTATACACTGAAACGACAGTAAACTAAGACAATACAGCAGTTATCGTAATTTTTATCAGAGAAAATTCTCACATTTGTGGGTTTCTTTGGTCTCTTGTTCAGCCATCTCGCTGGCTTTTCTCATAACACTCTGTTTGGAGTCTCTGAAAAACCTCCGTTTGGAGGGTCATGTAGCCCCAACACTTCACCCTATCCCTCTATCTCAACAAGAATCGGGACACCCTACCCCTAGACAAGAATGCGTAAAACAGAGGGTTAAGGGCTAAGTGGTAGGGGCGAGGGGTGAAATGGGACTGGGCCTAACTCTTTATTGAAGAGTGTGATTTTCTGTAATCTCCACCTTTATAAATTCTCTGGTATTAGCTTCTAATACTTATTATCTACTTTCACCTTGTCGCTCTAGAGCAAAAGTAAAGAAACTTCAGACACCAAACATCTTGGCTGATCGACTACATTTGCAGTAATGAGAACGTTAATGATGTAAGTTTGATTTTTGGCCAAATTATCGCTTGAAAGATTGTCCTGTATCAACAAGTTAAACAGAATCTGTTTGTAACGAGTCTGTAAGCTGAACACTGCCTGCCTTCATTCACACTCGCTATAATGAGTATGTATTTTTGTGCTTGGCCCACTTTAAATGGAAGCAGCAGAAATAATCAGACGAAGGCTACGTTTACACAGCAGGTAAAAGTGGCCCAAATCCGATCTTTTTACTCAAATGTGACACAGATGAGTCATCTGTGTGTCAGTGTGAGCAGCGAAAAACGCACTGAATCTGACAATTTCAATTCCGATTTGAGACGCTTTCATATGTGGTACTGAAATCCGATACGTATCCGATCTGCGGCAGTGCGACTCAGTCTGAACAGCCAGATCGGAATTAATGCGACTTTTACATCAATCCAACTCGACATTCGTCATAATTTCACGCTGCTGAGACTCAAAAACGTTTAGTCTGATACCAAAAAATTAGGAGACTCATCAAACCGCTCCGTGTTTGAAGAGGTTTCGAATGAACCGGCCGAATGCGGCCGGAGGAGACCGAGGCTGCAGCGTCAGAGAACAGTTTAAAGAATCCGAGGACGCGAACCAAAGAAGTGGCCGTGGCCGAATAACGAGCCCTTTTTACGGTGAACTCAAACACACTGTGGGTGATGAGTCCAGCTGTCAACCACTGGAACTTTATACTCGCTCCTGTGATGCTGGGAAGACGAAACCGAAAGCTGCGGGAGCGACAGGCGTTCACTGGCCGTCATGACTGTTTACCTCTGAATGAGCCGCCATGTGAAGCTCTGTTCTTTTGCGCATGCGGGTCGGTTTAGGAGCTGATCTGTTCCGACTGATGTCGCATACAGATCACATTTAAAAGATAATGTGAACAGCCAAACAAAAAAATCGGATTTGGTGAGAAAATCAGATTTGGGCCACTTTTACCTGCTGTGTGAACGCAGCCTAAGAGAAATATATCACTCGTATTGCTGTGTTTTTGGCCTCTTTCTCCTGTGCTGTCGTTTGCTGTAGTGTAACTGTTGCTGGTTGACTCGTGTGTGTGTCCCTGCAGCCCTCGTGAGGAGGACGAGTCGACGGAAGCAGCAGCAGATGAGCGGCCGCAGGAGCTGACCTCTCAGTACTTCTCCTTCTGACTCTGTCCAACTCACCGAGCTGAAGAGCATGTGAAACGTAGAGGTTTCAATACTCCATTAGTCTGTGTTCAATACTTCACTGTGAATTTCACTTCAGGATTTTATTTTTTATTTATTTATGTGTTTATTTATTGATTGATTGATTTATTTTGGCCAATAAGATACTTTTGACTTGGGCATTTATGCAATAGAAGAGAAGATCCGCATCTGATTTATGTTCGCAGACACCAACTCTTTTTTCTTGATGGACCGAAACTGTTGGAATACCAGTGTCTTGCCAGTTTTAAAAATAAATTGCACAGTGTTTATATTTATATTATATTGTCTTGTTACAAACAATAAACCATCGGTTGTAAAATGATGTTTGTATCTTACCCTTCAAAAATCAACTTAAATATTAATTGTTAACCAAAAAAGTGTCCATCTTTGGATTTAATGTGTTGAATTGCATAGTTAGTTTCAGCCGTAACAGAGTATATTTAGAGAAAAACTAGTGATATTCCACATGCAGATTTTTTGAAGGTGAGTATGTTGCAGTATATTCTTATATTTCGCTGCTGTTGGATCAAAAACATTTTTGTCGTTTTGTGCTTTTTTACAGAATTTTAAAATGCTAGCTGATCTTTTACAATGTGCCAAAATTTCATGATGAACGGACCAACAGAAATGCTCCAGAAATGCTTGGAAAAAAGTCTGGTTCCATTAACTTCCATTCAAAGTTAAGTATGTTTTTTCCTTCTCCTGTAAAGTTACCATTTTGGAGATATGAGGTTTTGTTCCGACAGCAGCGATTTACTTTTTTAATACGAAAGTTTACATACACCAGGTCAAATTACGTGTTTTGTTGATTTTCTAAGTGGATATAAGCTAACACGTCCTCTACGGGAACACACTTGGCAATTTTGGCAAATTTATTGTACAATTTATATATAATATATATAATTTATATATAGTATAAAATGTGTCATAACTTCTGCACAGACCACATTTTGCTTTTTTCCAATGTTAAGTTCAGCAAATAAACAGTAATCGTGCATCAGACTGTGCAGAAGTGTGTCCTCTGTGGAGGATGTTTTCACAAAATCTACTTAAAACACATAATCTGACTGGGGCGCACAAACTTTTGCACACGACTATATATATTCTTGCATTATACAAACGACATACATGTTTTCATAGTGGAATCTAATTAGTGTGCTTGAATGTCAGCGTGCACTACACACATGTTCATAAGGACTTTATAAACTGCTTTTAAAAGGGCTTCAAACAGGTAAAGGGATAGTCCACCAATTTTTCCAAATTTCTGCATAGTTAAATCATTAAGATGTAAACAGAGTCATTCAGAGTGGTTTGGTGTGAAACGCTCTGTTCTACAGAAACTTACAGAGTCAGAGTTGTTCAGTGGTGGTGATAGGAACCAGACGTCCACCTCTAAAAGCTCCCTCACAGAAGGCTATTGCATTAAATGGTTATGAATTCACTGCCTGATGCCTGAGACAAAGCAAAATAGTTCCCAAACAAATTATTTTTTCAGATTAACCACTATTTTACGATTGACCAGGGCTGGAGCTAAAACTCTCCAGGCTGTGGTTTGGCACCACTGGCCTACAGTAAATATCACTCTTGGCTGAAATAACAGTGCCATCATAAAGTCATCAGTGACACTGTATAGTAAATATCAGTAAATATAATTGGCTGCAGTATTGGAGAAGTGACAAAAATATAATACATGAAAAATATACAGAGACAGTAGTGATTTTAAAATGTGGTGGATGTGCATACAGTAAATATCACTGTTGGCTGAAGTGTGGGGGGAATAAACAAAGATCAATCAGTGAAAAATTGATAGAAAAGATAATAGTGCCATCCTAAAATCAAAACATGGTCAGTGATCATGGACTTACAGCAGACATGCTTATGTTTTCTTTAGTATGGAGCAATTAAAAAAGCAAGAAATTAAAAATATACAAAAAAGATAAGATTGGCATTGTAAAAATCTAAATATAGCAGACCTACAGTGAATATCACTCTTACCTCCAGCACATGGAAAAATATATAGGAAAGATGCTAATGTCCAAACAATATTCAACCCCTTAGACTCATATTAGGCTTATTATTAAACAATATTGCCCAGTAACTTATATGAAAATAATATGGAGGTTATGCAGAGTCACACTAATATGGAGGTTATGCACTTAACTTTTCTATTGGACATCATGAAATGTTTATACAATGTAAAGGGCAGCTAGAGACAATATATTGTCTATGTACAGAGTGAGGAACTAAAGGTATGACCCACATACAGAATCTTTGAGGTGAAGGGGAATTCCACAGATTTTTCAAAATTCTTGCGTTATTAAATGGTTAAGATGTAAACAGAGTCATTCAGAGTGGTTTGGTGTGAAATGCTCTTTTCAAGAGAGTCAGAATTGTTCACAGTGGTGGTGATAGGAACCAGACGTCCACCTCTAAAAGCTCCCTCACAGAAAGTTATTACAAGAAATTGTTATGAACACACTGCCTGATGACTGAGACACTGTTTAGCAACAGTTTTCAGAAAAGTTTGGCCTAAAACGTATTTGAATAATCCATTAATGACATCTATTAATTTTCTATTTTACCGCTTTCAACATTACATATAAAACCTTGTGTGGTTTTGGATAGTAAATAAAATGGCGACCCCTGCTTCCTATCACCACCACTGTAAAGACATCTGAGTCTCTACAATCAACCATTTCACACCAAAACTGTGTGAATGATTTTGTTTACATCTCAACAACTGAATTGTGCAAAAATTTTGAAACTTCTGTGGAGTTCCCCTTCAACACCAAGTTATAAAAATAAGTGGTGCGTCTAAAAAGAGGCAGTGGCAAAGTAAATCCCGTTCCGCTGCTTTGCGCCCATTCCTCTCCCCTCAAAGCCCCCCTAGCCAGGGTCCAGTTCATGCCCTCCGACCTCCAGGCATCACAACAGCAGGACGATGATGTATATGAGCAGCAGGCAGATGAGGATGAGGGAGAAGTTGATGAAAAGCTCCTGCAGGTTGCGCTTGGTCTGCGGGTTCACCTCGATGTTGGACGCCCTGCGGATGGCCGAACGCGTGATGTTCTGCACCCGCTCCATCCTGGGATCAGAGGAGAGCGCTGACTACTGGCCGCAAAGGTGAAGCGCGCGAGGCTGGCAGCGACCCGGGGGATGGAGATGTGTTTGTGTCAGCTGGTGGGCTCTGCCCCTGTCTTTCATCGGAGAACAGAGAGAGAGGACACTTAACCTATTTCAGGACAATCAGCGTGCTATTTCAAGCTGATGATGAGGGACCACAAAGCACGATAATGACAAATGATCATACTTGAAGATATTTATAGTCAGTTTAACCCCTTAAACTCAGGTCCAGTCTCTAATTCTTCACCCTACACTTACATGGCAGGTTCGGTGTACTTACTGAGTAATTTTTATCATTACATTGCTGTCGGAAGAAAACCTAGTATCTCCATTTTTTGTCTTATTTCAGTTTTTGACAAAACTTGAAAATACCTGTTTCCCTTTACATTGTGTGTAAATTTCATGAAGAATGGACCAAAAGAAATGGCCCAAAATTACTTGGAATAATCTCTGGTTCCATTGACTTGCATTAAAAATAGAGCATGTTTTTGCCTTCTCCTGTAAAGTTACCATTTTGGAGATACAAGGTTTTCTTCTGACAACAGCGATTAGTAAGAAGTATTAAAGAGCCCAGATCCTAAATTTTTTTTACATCTTCTTTTTCCTCCCGACATCCACTTATAACATTTCTGCAGTTTTATGTTCCAAAAATAGTCGTAATTCATTTTTACATGACCATTTTTCTATTTCCAACCTCTCTGTCTTGTAATTAGCTGTTTTTGACACAGTTTCTTTAAAATTGATATATATGTAAATGACCTTTGTTCTGATTGCCTGCCCTGTATTGTGCTTCATTCAAATAGCAGTCTGGGCTATAACCCTCTTTATAACATGATAAGTTATATAACATGATATATAGCATAATATATGTATATATGTTGGTTTTGTGATGTCACAAAACAATTAATTAAAAAAAAAGTCATTTTTGCAGCTTTATTTGCATAAATGGACTATATGGAGTGAGTAGTACATTATGAAACTTGATGTTTACACACGACATCACACTCCTTTATTTGAGAAATTAAAATTTTCATGGTATGGGCCCTTTAAGATTAACACCGGAATTCTGAATTATAAGGAATTTAAGGGGCTTAAAGTGCAGCTATAAGTGTCTGAAATAGGCATAATACATTTTTACCTATATAAACATATACATATATTTGTAAATGACTTGATTGGCTGCTCTGTATTATGCCTCATTCAAATAGCAGTCTGGGCTTTAACACTCCTTATAACATAATAAATAACTTGATATATCACATGATACGTGTAAATGTGTTGGTTTTGTGACATCACAAAACAATGAATTCAAAAACAAGTCTTTTTTGCAGCTTTGTTTGCATAAATGGACTGTATGGACTGGGGAGTGAATGGTACGTTTTAAGACTTTGTCCATGTTTACATATTACATCACACTCCTTTATTTGAGAAATTCAGTTTTCCATTGTAGGGGCCCTTTAAGACTAACACCGGAATACTGAATTTAAGGGAATTTCAAGCTTGAAGTGCAGCTGTAAGTGTCTGAAATAGGCATAATACATTTTTACACATATATATTCATATACACAGGTATGTAAATGACCTTTGTCCTGATTGGCTGCCCTGTATTGTGTCTCATTCAAATAGCAGTCTGGGCTATAACACTCCTTATCACATGATATAGCATGATATATGTAAATATGTTGGCTTTTTGACTTTATTTTGAGACTTTAATCTTGTTTAGAAATTCAGTTTTCTTCGGTATGGGCCCTTTAAAATGAACACCTGAATAATGTATTATACGCTTAGAATTTAAAGGGGCTTAAAGTGCAGCTGTAAGTGTCCGAGGTATATAGTGTAAACATTCTTCAATCAGTACAACTGCAGACTGTTAAAAAAGAAACACAGCATTAACTGTAATTTGTATCTATGTATTAATATTTGGGGCTTACAGTCCGAAGGTCATTAATCCACTTAAAGGGCCTATACTCTACACTTGTGTTGTGTTTTGAATTGTCGGTAAGACTTTATTTGGATGGTCCACTGTAGAAGCTCAGTCTATTTTTAACTAACTTTCAACTAAATATCTATTAAATGCAACTGACCTTAAGTTGAGTGTTGAATAATCTAACCTAATCTTAACCATAATGTTAATAATTAACTGATTATCACCAGAAAGTTTGTTAATAATTTAAGTATCTGTAGATCATCTATAGAGGACCATCCAAATAAAGTGTGACCAAACTGCCTTCCTGAATTCCACTCACAGCATTTGTGTGGATTTCTATACCAGGCTGTACCTTTAAAATGGCTATATGTAAATGAGGTCTGTTTTGATTGGCTGTGCTATACTCTGCCTTATTCAAAAAGCAGCCCAGTATGAAATCCTGCCTATTTGGTTCAGATTGAAAAGAACAGGAAAAAATAAACTTCAGCTCCTCTCGGATGTGTGGATCGTTTGGAAGGCTGCGATGATCCGTTTGCTTCCTGACAGCCAAGAACAGCACAACGTTTAATCAATTTCTCATCTTCTACTCTAATAACTCTGATACAGACAGTCTACAGGAACAACACTCCATATCACTTCGACAGGGATGGGCAGGGCTAAACTGCTGTAGGCTATGTAAGTGGTCATAATGTAAATGAGTGCGTTTTACATGCACTTAACAATCCAATAACAGCAGAAAATCAGATTTTGTCAGTAATCTGATCAACACGTTTACATGCACTTGAGTAATCAGATAATGGGGAAATTCTGGGTCTACATGAGTCAGACAGTGATCAGATTTCTGCTTCACAACCATCCAATAAACTCACAGAAGAAGACGTGACGTAAACATAATGTAAAACTCAAACTTCATGCCGCGAAAATGCCCTGAAAATATGAACTTACATCATCTAGAAGATGAAGAATAATTAAATCCTTCATTTTGTCGAGAATGTAGTCGGTTTCAGTATCATTCCAAAAGTGTTTCGCGCCGACACTGCTCACTTATTTCTGGTACCACAGTCTGTTTTCGCACATGCTCAGACTGAGAAATCCGAAAGAAATCAGAGTAAGAGTTTACATGCACTGAGAAATCTGATTACTGAGCTCAAATCCAGCCTCTTTATTAGTATTCTTAATCGGATTTCTAGACCTGACTCCGATCTAAGAAATCGGAGTGTGCTGTTTACAACTGCAAAAATCCAATTATGATCGGATCATTGAGTGCATGTAAACACACTTAATGTGTTCATGGTTGAGACTAAACAAACAACAGCGAATGTTTTGCAGCTCATTTTCCACAAAAAGGGCTAAACGGTGTGTTTTGGTGATGTTTATCTGCTACATTGAACGCTTGTTTTAAAACAGTGAGTTGAATTGAGTTTTCCGTGATACGGGCCCTTTAATTGGGTAAATTATCTGTGGCCGGAGAGCCCTGCATTCCAGCGGGATGATTCACTGGCTCTGTAATTGTCTGACCCTCTCTGGACTGTTGAGTTTGGAGGTGAGAGTAACGCAGCGTGTCTGAGTGACGGGCGCTTGTCTATCGCGCTTGTTCTCACTTCACCACGTCTTACGTTTACATCACCTTCACTGTTTAAAGGTGACAAACAAGGGCTGAACTGTTTGTTCTGTCTTATCAGTTCACATAATCAAATGTATACAGCTCTCTCTCTCTCACTCACTCTCTCTCTCGCTCTCTCTCTCTCTCTCTCTCTCTCTCTCTCTCTCTTACTCACGCTCTCTCTCTCTCTCTCTCTTTCTATTTCCCTCTTTCTCTCCCTTTCACTCCCTCTGCCTGTCTCTCTCTTTCTCTCTTTTACTTACTTTCTCTCTCCCTCTTTCTGTCACTCACTTATTCTCTCTCCCTCTTTTATCACCCTTTTGTTCCCTATTCCCTTTATTCATCTCCTTCTTTTCTCCCATTCTCTCCCCTCTATTTTTCTCAATTTCTCCCCTCTCTTACTCTCTTTCCCTCTTTCTCTTCACCTTTCACTCTCTCTCTCATCCTCTTTCTCTATTTCTGTATTTCACTCACTTTCTCTCTCTCCCTGTTTGCTTCTTTCTCTCCCTTCTTTCTCTTTCTTGCTCTTTTGCTTAATGTCTCTCCTCTGTCTCACGTCCCTCTCTTTTTCTTTCCCTCTCTTTTTATCACCCTTTTGTTCCTTATTCCCTTTATTTATCAATCTCTCCCTTCTCTCTTACTTGCCCTCTTTTTCTCCTTTTCTTTCACTCTCTCTCTCTCGCTCTCTCTTTCTCTCTCCCCTTTCTCTATTTCTATCTTTTACTTACTTTCTCTTTCTCTGTTTGCTTCTTTCTCTTCTTCCTTCTTTCTCTCTTTCCTTCTTCCTTCCTCTCCCTCTCTCCCTCTCTCTCTCTCTCCCCCCTTTCTCTCAACATCAGAAAAGTGACCTGAAATTTTTAATTATTTTATATATATAATTTTATATATATAATATTTTATATATTTTATATAAAAAACTCATTCTTTCTTTTAAACATTACATTTTTCAGTTCACAAATATTTCTGTGTTACTGTTTTGACTGATGAACATTTTCTTATTCACAAAGCCCGACTCTGTACGCTGCATTCATTTGAATAGAGACAAATTTTCTGGGGGCGTTTCATTACAAAATGCAAATAAGTTTTGCCTTTCACGCCGCACTTCCCTTAGTACAGAGACCTGTTTTATTATTTTTGTTTTGTAGCGTTTGTTAACTTTCCCTTTTCACTCAGTCTGCTGGAAACTTCAGGTGCAGCTTAAAAAAAAACAACAACAAAAACAAACCCCCATAACAATCAGCTGATCAGTATCAGTTTAGTGTCAGCAACCTCTTCATCTACCACTCATTTGTTATGTGGTCACTGTGCTTGATGTGTCCTGCAGGTCTAAAGAAGTGCAGCTGGAGTGAAGATGAGGTTTTGCTTACCTTCAGAAGTAATCCGCTCAGACCCAACAGCTGAGGACGTTTCCAAACGTCAGCGCAGAGCAGAGTCAGGCTGAGAGGACACGCAGCAGGTTTATAAGAGGAGCAGGAGAGGAGTGGGGGGGGGCGAACACACGGGCCGGGAGGAGGAAGAGTGCTGAGGGTGTGTATCTCTAACCTTTAGGGGAAGACACGCTGAACACACCCACTGTTACCAAAGCACCTCATAGGCACTACTGCCCATACAGAAATAAGGACGTTACAATATAGTCAGTATATGTTGAATAAATGTTGTAAAATACAGTGTATAATGGTATATTTCATTGTAATGGTGGCCAGTTTCCTGCCAGTTATGCCTGCTTTACTGTCCTGCTGCTGGTGCAGGAAGCCGAAGCTATTTCCTATTTACTGTAAACAGGTCTCATGAGCAAAGTGGGAGTGTCTTCAGAGCCATTCTGACTGCTTTCATTGAAAAACAAGTAAGAAAAGCCTGATTCTGCATTAGTATTTACGCTAGATACACCTACCCTGTCCATTTTATCAGCTCCACTGACCATATAGGAGCACTTGGTAGTTTTACAGTTACAGACTATAGTCCATCTGTTTCTCTGCATACTTTGTTACCCACTTTTTCAATGGTCAGGACCCCCATGGACCCTCACAGGGCAGGTACTATTTGGGTGGTGGATCATTCTCAGCACTGCAGTAACACTGATGTGGTGGTGGTGTGTTAGTGTGTGTTATGCTGGTCTGAGTGGATCAGACACAGCAGTGCTGCTGGAGTTTTTAAACACTGTCCACTCACTGTCCACTCTATTAGACACTCCTACCTTGTCAGTCCACCTTGTAGATGTAAAGTCAGAGACGATAGCTCACCTGCTGCTGCACAGTTTGTGTTGGTCATCCTCTAGTCCTTCATCAGTGGTCACAGGACGCTGCCCACAGGTCGCTATTGGCTGGATGTTTTTGGTTCTCAGCCCAGCAGTGACACTGAGGTGTTTAAAACTCCAGCAGCACTGCTGTGTCTGATCCACTCGCACCAGTGCAACACACACTAACACACCACCACCACCACATCAGTGTCACTGCAGTGCTGAGAATGACCCACCACCTAAATAGTACCTGCTCTGTGGGGGTCCTGACCACTGAACAACAGGGTAACAAAGTATGCAGAGAAACAGATGGACTACAGTCTGTGAAAGTGCTTCTATGTGGTCAGTGGAGAATATCAAATGGGCAATAAATGTAGATACAAGGAGGTACAAATCCATGAGAACATTTCTTAAGTACATGTTGCTGAGTAAATGTTACCACCCACCTCTGGTAATAAAAGACTTATTTACAACATAATAAGTATTAATTTGCAGCAGTGTAGAGTTTTACAAGTAGCAGTGACCCTCTAATGGACTAATCTAGATTATGTGATATGATCTAATATCTGTCATAGACTTGCAATCAAAGTAGGATATCTTTAAAAATACATATAATCAGACTACAGTTACTCTTTTATGGCATCGTCAATGAGACGAGTCTGTTCGTTGCTGTTTGTTACTGAGTTTGCCTGTAAACTGAGTAGTAGCTGAGTCACTATGACTGATAACAATAGTTCTGTGGTTTTGAGGAAGAAAATGAGGCGGAAGGGGAACTTATTATGGATTTATCTTTAGATGTTTAGGACATTACCTGTTTACCAATATGGAACCACATAAACTGGTTCTATTAGAAACTGTCCAAATGAAATCAGATTAGATTAGAAGTTATTACATTACTGATTATATTGGCCAGACTTTATTTTGAGTGGTCATTTTTAGATTAAACAAACACTCAGTGGACTCTCAGTAACACGTCAAAAACATATGAGGGATTAGGATTAGGTTTTGGGTTGAGGTTAAGGTTAGGATTAGGATTAGGGCCAGGGTGAGGGTTAGGATTAGGTTTTGGGTTGAGGTTGAGGTTAGAGTTAGGATTAGGGCCAGGGTGAGGGTTAGGATTAGGTTTTGGGTGGGTTAAGGTTAAGGTTAGGATTAGGGCCAGGATGAGGGTTAGGATTAGGTTTTGAGTTGAGGTTGAGGTTAGAGTTAGGATTAGGGCCAAGGTGAGGGTTAGGATTAGGTTTTGAGTTGAGGTTGAGGTTAGGGTTAGGATTAGGGCCAGGGTGAGGGTTAGGATTAGGTTTTGGGTTGAGGTTAATGTTAGGATTAGGATTAGAGCCAGGATAAGGGTCAGGATTAGGTTTTGAGTTGAGGTTGAGGTTGAGGTTAGAGTTAAGATTAGGGCCAAGGTGAGGGTAAGGATTAGGTTTTGAGTTGAGGTTAGAGTTAGGATTAGGATTAAGGCCAGGGTGAGGGTTAGGATTAGATTTTGGGTTGAGGTTGAGGTTAGGGTTAGGATTAGGGCCAGGGTAAGGGTTAGGATTTAGGTAACGTTTGGTAAGATTTACTCATTAGTCTATACAGTCCACAAATGGAAACTTAGCTGTTTTGTTTTTATGATGTCACAAAAACCAACACATTTACGTATCGTCACCATCAGAACGAAATCTTGTATCTTCAAAATGGGAGTTTTACAGCGGAAGGAAAAAACTTCTCAACTTATAACAGAAGTTAATGTAAAAAGCCTATTTTCCAAGTCATTTTGTACCATTTCTGTTTGTCCATTCATCAAGAAATGTTCAAATTATGTTAAAAAGCAAAAAACGATAAAAACAGAGGTATAAAGTTTTGTTCTGAAAGCTGATACATAGGCATTATTCAGCCTGCAGCAGTTTAGCCCCGCCCACTCACACTGAAGTTATAGGGAGTGTTACAGTCTGGGCTGCTTTCTGAATGAGACGTAATTCAGAGCAGCTAATTAGAACAGAGCTCAGCTACATATATCCATCTAAAAGGCCCAGTGACAAAAACAGCCAGTTTAAGGGATAAAGAAATGTTGGTCAAATGTAAATGAAATACAAGAAAATCATAAGATATGTGTCCTTTAAATCCTTAAATATAATATATTGATTTGCATGTCAGAAAAGCAGATGGTTAAAACTTTCAGAGATTTTTAGTGCAGTTGAAAATGACTCATTAATGACTCATTAAGGTAAATACAACAGAGCTCCGGCTGTCTGAGATCTAAAATCAGCTCAGGGCGAACATTTTTAAAGCCCAGCTCTGCACTAATGGGTGATGTTCTCTTCGTGAGGAACAGTAGAGGACTGTTTTGTTTTCTCTGGAAGCAGCAGGGCTGCCTTGGCAGGCGTTTGGGCGCAGAGCTATGCGGGGTGGCATAGTGGAGGATTGTGGGAGATTAGCTGCTGTACATGCACACCATCAGCACAGAAATGGATGAGAAGGCGATAGAGTGATGACATGTCTGATCAGAGACAGGAACATGACGATGAGCGATGAATCTCAATCATTTAAATCAAGTAAATCCAACCCAGCCTTCGCTCTCACTCAGAGGAACTTTGATAAAGAAAGAGCCGCTCTGCATGGAGCTCCATCACCCGCCACACTCTTAAACATGAAGAGGTTCTTGGCTTGAGCCAGCGATTGGCAAACCAAATGTTAAGAGCCATTTTGCCCTTTCAATAAAAATCAGACCACCTTGGGAGCCTCAATATTTAACATCTATTTTACCATCTTGGCTGTAAATATGTCTCAGTATGTGCTGATGTACTAGTATAGGCTACAACATATAGTACAAACAAAAACGCAGTCTTACTTTGTTCTGCTTTAAGCTTTAGCTCAGCTATAGCTGCTTTTCTCACATCTCCAGCAGGAAACTTTTCCTCAAAAGTAGAACAGTTTCTTGTAAAATGTCTCTCAACGTTCGACTTTTTACGAGGCTAAAGTCGCTTCTCATTCGCCAGCTTCTTGTTTGAATTTTCCCGTTCCACCTTAAATGGCACTTGAGCTGGCAGAATGTAACTGCTGCACCATTTAAGGTGGAATGGAAGAATTCGAATAAGAAGCTGTCGAATGAGAAACTGACTTCAACCTCACGACTTTTTAGTGTTTGTCAGTTTCTCGTTGCAGATTAAACGTATCAGGAAACCAGCTGGAGTGATTATAAGTGCAAATATCTAACTCCAAATTATCAATGTTTGTCTTAAATCTCTCTTTGTCTTTTCGTTAGCTACTAGCTAGGCGAGACTGTTGTCTGCGTTGCTATGGTGACCAGCAGTATGTGTGTCTACCTTCAGGGTTAAAGGGTGAATTAGCAGTTCTGCATTAACTCCAGCATTTAAGACCATTTATTGTTGAACTGTGTTGAACGATCAGCAGAGCTTTATTTTACTACGAAGGAGGATTATTTTATTTTTACCTACTAATCTAATTCAGCTGTGGAGCCACAACAGGGAAGTAAGATAGCCACATGCTGCTGGCCCCTGGCTTAGGTGCATGGTTGCAGAAATAAAACTTTAACCTCTCTCTGCAGGCCCCCTAGTGGCCGTTCTGCAAGAAGAATGGAAATTGATGACTTGGATGCTTTCAATAGAAAAAATCAAGTTGCGCTGGTCTGAGTGAATCAGACACAGCAGTGCTGCTGGAGTTTTTAAACACCTCAGTGTCACTGCTGGACTGAGAATAGTCCACCAACCAAAAAGATCCAGCCAACAGCGTCCTGTGGGCAGCGTCCTGTGACCACTGATGAAGGACTAGAGGATGGCCAACACAAACTGTGCAGCAGCAGATGAGCTATCGTCTCTGACTTTACATCTACAAGGTGGACTGACAAGGTAGGAGTGTCTAATAGAGTGGACAGTGAGTGGACACAGTGTTTAAAAACTCCAGCAGCACTGCTGTGTCTGATCCACTTGTACCAACGCAACACACACTAACACACCACCACCACGTCAGTGTTACTGCAGTGCTGAGAATGATCCACCACCCAAATAGTACCTGCTCTGTGAGGGTCCATGGGGGTCCTGACCACTGAAGAACAGGGTAAAAGGGGGCTAACAAAGTATCAGAGAAACAGATGGACTACAGTCTGTAACTGTAGAACTACAAAGTGCACCTATATAGTAAGTGGAGCTGATAAAATGGACAATGAGCGTAGAAACAAGGAGGTGGATTCTTAGTTGCGAAGCCATATTTTAGCTTCAAGTAATTCTACAGAAATGAAGAATGTGTAAGTCTGCTAGTTTAGG